TAAACCACAGAATTCTACACTGTGATAACAGAAACCCTCGATCTTTCTCTCGTCTCTCATTTCTTTCTGTGAATTTTCAACTGTCGGAGATTTTCAAGCATGTATGTATCCCCTTCCCAGTCTTCTTATTCTTTCATACTTAGAAGTGGATTCGAAGACCTATAATTTCGACTTATTTTGAGAATGGCAAAAAAGTGGTTTGTCAAATAAATAGAAAAGAATTCATTCGAGGTGGAGACATGTTTAGCCTAGTACGGCTCGGTTTATAATTATCTAATTTGTTTATGATCCTCAGGTATTCTTTCGTCCCCGTCTTTTTTGTCCCTTCTCTTTTTGTTCCGCTTGTCTTGCCTTTCCTTTACTCCAAATTGTCGGTGTATAGTCCAAATGATTCTCATTAATTAAAAAAAAAAATTTGAAAAAAGAAGCCCAACCAACGAACCGTTTATAATAATGTCACTCTAAACTAATATTAAGTAGGCCTATAGTAAGAATTATGTTTACCGTATATAAAAATCTATTGAAGGCTAAATAATGAGGAGAGCCTGCCAACTTGTTATTTAGTATAATTTGTATGAGTGAAGACAATCCGATTACATAGAGACGTAGGCCTATTATAATTTAGCCCTTATTTTATCATTGATCCTCGCGCGATAGTTTATCTATACATTTTATATTTGTGAAAGTTCGTCACTTTGGCAGCCTAAAACTTCGGAACCGCTTAACTTTCGAATTTGAAAAAATTAACGGAGGTTCAGAATCATTAAAAGGGTGCACAGTTTTACTGAAGAGTCTGAAGTCACTGTAGTTTAATTTTCAGTTTTTAATTAGATCTAGTTTCGTTTAGCCTAGATTTAATCTGGGGAAATATAGAAAATGTGACAAAGAAGTACACGGCATTTACATGACCTTATTGTGTTGCAAGAGCCGTAAAACTCTTTTAAAAAAGAAGTACAGTATTCTAAGGCGTTTTTATTTTAAAAACAAAACAACAACAACCCAAATCAAATTCAAATTCAACATCAAGCAAGGCCGACAATAATATTAAATACATTACATTTACATGCACCTGATTATCTACTTATTATCTCCCTTCCCTTGAAAAGTTATTTCTCGCAGCTGAGTGAATACCAAATTGGCGTATTTTATTCTGATCAAACAGGATGGCTACTTATTGCACAGATGAATACAAAAGAACTTACAGGAAAGTTTGTGTTGAAAATTGAGAGAAAGAGAAATTTATTTAAAAAGCCAAAATGTAGGTTTTGCATGTAGGTTTATAAACGGCTCGATAAGTCTTATTTCCACTGGCGAGTTTCGATGCCTGGGCAGTCTCTGGACAGTAATGGGCCTTCGATTCGAGCGAATACTTCCGGTATTATTGTTGTTGCATTGGAAAGATTAGGAGGAGTCACCGAGTCTTGTTGCTAATAAATCTGTGCAGAGGCTCACTCATTGCTATTTTTTAGTTGATGTCCCTATATATTTCTATGTTTTATTGAATGCAAGTATGCGTTCTATGTAATTAAATCGACAGGAACTGTTTTTAAGGAAAAGAGCATGCTTTGGCGGAATTGAAATTAAGGTAAGATGAGTCTGAGTGGTCAAGTGAAGAAGAATAAAAAAGATCGGCTTGCTCGAACCAAGAAGAGATCCTGTGTCTGTGTGTGTGACACTGACTGAGCTAAGTGAACGGTTTCTCTGACTCTTTGTTCTCCAATCATCATCTCTATTTTCCCGACAGACGAAACTTAAATTCTACGTTTTAGTTTAATATAGTTTAATGTAGATTCTGGATCTTCACATTCACATATAGAGCAAGAATAGAAATCTAGGCCGCTATTTTTTAATTGGCCACCTCTATTGACAATAGTGCAGGCGAGTCTTGTGGCTATTCTCACCCGGTGAGCGTTCACCAAATATTGCGTTCACCCTAAACCACAGAATTCTACACTGTGATAACAGAAAAACTGTAGAATTCTGTGCCGTGAACAAACGTTCCATTACAACTGTAGCCTACTAAAAGCGTACAATTTTGTCTGTGGGCAGTGGAGAGAGAGAGAGAAAGAGAGAGAGGAGTAGCGTTAGAATTTTCGGGCAAAACAAAATGGCGACCCGCGTAGTTCGGCTCGATTCGAAAAGTTAAATAGCCGTAGCATGTTTGTAGACAACCAAATTAATTTACTTTTGTGTTTTAACATCATTTTTTAACTTTGTTTTGGTCAATTTGATTTTTCCACACCGACAGACAGTATTCAGAAAGAGACAGAGAGAGAGAGAAGAGGGGAGGAGTTGATCTTGCGAGAACTTCCGGGCGGGTGAGAATAGCCACTTTCTTTTTAATTTTTTTGTAAATGTAAGATTGTGTCAGATCCTTTGTACTTTGTAAATTTTGTTATTAAATTGTTCTTGTCCTTTTGAATCGAACTTTGAAATTGAAAGATGTACCTTCTCAAACATAAAATAGAATGAAATGAATGCTTTGATGCATTCTTATTCAAACAGGTACAGGGCCTAGATCTAGAATCTAGATCTATTAGATTGTTGATCTGAGATTTATAATCTAGCAATTTTTTAGGCAGGCTCTATTTCTCCGAACACTCGGGGAAATTAAACTTAAATGTTTCTCCGGAGGGATTTTTGTTGTGATTTAGTTTTTACTTTAGGGGTAACTAAATTTAAAATAGGTTAATGCCAAAGTTGAGCAGTCTTGTTTTCTCGCAGTACCTTTTGAAAAGGGTGCGGTGGCGGCGAAGTGGTTAGTTAGCTCGTCTCGGAAGCGGAAAGTCCGGGTTCAAGCCATGATTCAGACACGCATTTTGGTTTGCCCCCTCCTGACCACGCAGCAGTGATGGGTACCTGACTTCGAGTTGGGGAAGTAAAGGCGGCATGGAAAGGAACTGGCCACCCTACCACAAATGCCGAAGGCCCAGGAAGTTGTCTCACTAACAAGGCAATCCCCAATGTCCACATCGGATGCGGGAACAACTTTACTTTTTACCTTTTGAAATTTTGAAGGCTTTTTCAGGTATAGTCCGGGAACGTTGCCCCAACCACAATTGAAGTATCTGAATATATAATATTCAGACATCTGAAAATCTCTAGCTCTAGAAATTGAATGCGATGCAAAAAAAGTGCTTTTCCCAGTTCTTGCAGAATGGCAAAATGAAAGATGACGCAGAACAGTTCAGAACTCTCTCAAATAGATCTAAAAAAATCTCAAGAACGGAAACTTTGAATTTTTTCACTATAGCTTTATATCTGCATTGCTCCCCCCCTCCTGTCAGACTTGTGATCTTTTTGTCTTTAGCGTCACTGCTTTCTTGAGAAGTCAGAATAGATTTAAAAGCCTTTATTAGTCTTAGAAACAGTACTTTGACATTACAGTGTGAGTATACTCACCCAGGGTGAGAATACTCCACAATGACAATAATTATTCTCACCCATTGACAGAGCCTCAAAGCCTTGTGCACAGCTGACTCCGGTTCAAGAGATATACAACAGAAATCACATATAAAAAGACATCTTCATCTGAAATTTTTTCCTCACTGGTTTCAGCAAAATCGTCCGCTAAATCGCTCATTGTGTGGTAATTTTGGTTGAAAATGAAAGAACAACAACCGTACCATGTGATACGGTAGTCCATGCGTGTAGTTGTATTCTCAGACCGAATGAGAATAAAATGGAATGTTATTCGGGGTGAGAATAACGCCAGCCTTGACATTAAAAGTGACGTACCTCAAATTTCATAGATAAAGACATAAAGGTGCTCTAGACTACCATGTAGGCTTCAGAGGTTTAGATAGGATAACATGATAGAGATAATAACTAAATAAGAGGTCTGGACTCTGCAACTAGCCTCTAGGCCTCGATGGTTGAAATTTAAAGCAGTTTTGATACATTTTTAAAGTTTGAAAGCGGTGTCGGATCAGTATTGGAAGTACTTCTGTAAAACGAGCGATCACCCGTACAAACACACAGTTTGAGTTATAAAGAAAAGACCTAATCCAGACCCTAACCCAAACTCCCTAACTCTTACCCTTACCCTGTATTCTATACTCTATTTCATTTTCATAGTGGCTGCTCGTTACGGAATTCCTCCTTCAGTACTAATTTTACTTTCACTCCGGTCACATTGTAGCACTTTTTATCGTTGTCTTTTACAAAAATAGATATATATGATTTTTTAAATCCTGTGAGCTGTACTAGACCTATCTAATGTAATGTAATAATTAATATTTTGAGCATTTTTAAAGATCTTGGGTTGTTGTTTTTTGTTGTGTTTTTTTTGGGGGGGGAGCATGTCCCATGTCAGTTTTAAAACATTGGGGTTTTTTTTTTATTAAAAAAAAATAATAAATGTCGTGGTATGGGGTTACGGGCAGTTTAAGAATTTAAGAAACATGCGAGGCGAGACTGGGGGGGGAGAGAAAAGGATGCCCCATCTCGGTTTTAAACATCTGGGGTTTTTTGAGGGTGCATCCACCCCCCACCCCCCTCATTTTCCCATGATTAGAATTTGGTAGTTTAATATTTTAAGTTAGGGTTAAGAATTTCTTGAAAACCATGTGTGGCATCATGGTGAAAATCAGGCCTTGTGATAATAATGAAATTGCAAAGTACATATTTTTTTCTGGTTTGGCAATTTTTATCAAACTTTTATTTTTTGGCTCAACGCCTTTTATGTCCATTAAAAAAATATATTGCTGTGTGGATTTTAGACCTGAAAATGGTTGATTAAAAGCATTTTAAAAAATGTAAATTTACAGTTTTCAAGGAAAGTCACCAAACTGTGGCGGCCGTTTTCTTCACTAATTGTACTCGTCCTGAAACCATCTCTGTTTTGTCACCCCAGTGCCTCTGGATGCTAGCGAACTCTGCAACATCTGATTGAGACCTGAGAGAGTCAAGGAAAGGAAAGAGTGAGGGAGAGGCTGTTGCTATCATCATGGATAAGGCGGCCAGAGCTGTGAGAAGGTATTAAATAAAACAAAATTACATACATGAGAAAGTACTTCTTCGAAGTATTTTCATGCATTTCTAGCTTCCTGAAATGTTAAGCTTTCAAGCAGTGTGATGTCATATGTCATATTTTATAACACTTCATATTTGGTCAATTTTGGAAAATGCTGGGCACCCAAATTGTGAATCCTGCCTTTACATAATAAAACCCTTTGAGCCCTTGCCGCTGGTACGCAGGTTGCGCACAAAACAGCCTGTATACCTTGCCACCGGTACAGCGGTGATCGAGGCCCTATATATCCCCAGCCCGGATTGTCTGGGACAAAAACATATACGGGAAACTGTGTTTTCTGCACAGGACGTTATTGATTATTTTGAAGATCTTTCTGAATTAATGCTGGTAACGACAAAGACTGCCCTGAGTGAGATATTTATTGTGATTCTAATCTGATGATCATGAATGTTTATTAATTTATTAACTATTCAGGAACTCAGACAGAGGGGCACGGTAGCCTCAGGAGGTCAGGGCTCAAAGGGTTAAATAATAATGTTGAGTTAAGTGTTGTTATAGATATATTATACAATTTTTTGACCTCCACAAGGAGAAATTTGCTGCGGCATGGTAAATACATACATGCAGGACATGCACTCCTTAACACACTCTCTTTATCTCTTTCTGTATCTCTCTGTCTCTCTCTGTCTCTCTGTCTCTCTCTCTCTCTCTCTCTCTCTCTCTCTCTCTCTCTCTCTCTCTCTCACTCGCACACACTCACATATAGATATATATATAGAAAAGAGATACACATAGAAGTATAAATGGTCAGTGGATGGCCACAAAACAACGTGTTGTTTGAATGAATAATATTATGCTTGTACACCATTGCACTTTTGTTATGTTTTACACCTCTTTATGGTTTTTTTTTCTTCTCAATTTTTCTTTTAAATAGTAGTAAATAGTGGTAGACATATTTACTCTGGTAATGATATCAGTGTCCATTTTATGATTGAAAGTTTAGATTCTACGAGTTTGAATTTTGTTTGTTTTCCCTTAACCTCACTGCTAAATATGTGAGATGCTTTTTTGGTTGGAAGTTTCCAAGTTTCAAGGGCTGGTAGCTTGGCTTTGAGTGAGAAGCCTGCTTCCTTGGTTTAACTCTCATTTTCTGCTTGTACGGAGACAAGTTTGTTAATCTTTGGAATAAGGTTCTGTGATAGCGAATATCGAGATTTTAGCCTTTTAGTGAACGTATTGAGGTAGAGGCAGAGAGAGGGAAAAGATACTGGACAAGATGACAACATGGCTGGGAGCAGCAAGAACAACAGACACCATTGCTGCTTCGAAAGACAGATGGAAGTGGAGGTCCATGATCGCCCACGCCAGTCGGCAAGGCACCGGATGATGATGATTGACCCAAACCGGGCTGTGCAATGTGCTGTTGCGAACAGAACCAACTTTATTTCGCGCTCATATGACCTTATGCAGTTGTGAGCGGCGTAAAACTCTTACTAAAACTAAACTAAACTAAAATATTGAGATTCTCAGGACGGACTACCTAGAATTCTTGCACGGGCCGTGTATAATTGTTCGCCGGGCTGGATGTGGCCCAGGGACGTTGAATTTGACAGCTGTGCTCTAGATTATAGATGCATGAGTTTAGGTGTATGACTGAAGTGTATACACAGGTATTTATTAAAATAGAAAACAAATGAAAAATCTGTGTGAATGACGAAGTTATGCTTTGTTTTTTTAAAAACAGCACGTCCTGAATAAGTCCAAGCAGTGCATATATATCGCGATCTCAGTGCTCTCTTGTCCTATCTCCAATTTTGATTACAGTGAAAACAGTTCATAACAAAGTAAGAAGAAGTCACATTTTCACTGTTACAGAAATGGTGATACGACAAGAAAGCACTGAGGTCCCTATATGGTGGTCGCGATATGGTGGTCAGTGGAATAAATTCTTATTTCCCCTTGGTGTGTACAGGAGCAGTGTTAAGCTGCTGTCTTTGGGAGGTGGGCATGCTGACCTTCACGTGCTGCTGTCCGAGGTCAAGGACATGAGGAACACTGCCAAAGCCTTCATGAATGCCCAGAATACAGGTGACTGCTAGTTCTGTTTTGGTTTATATTATATAGTTTAATTTAGTTTAATCTGAGTAAGAGTTTAACGGCACTTGTTGTACAATTAGGTCAGATGAGTGCTGAAGATTAGAGGTGGGACTAAAGAGTGACATATGCAAAAATAAAATGAGGAAGAAGGATAAGGATGATAGGAAAGAAGGAGCTACCCAAATTAGTTCACCTGCCAACTACCTTTATTCTGTTTTGTATTTTTTCAGCACTTCTATGCTATCATATAGAAATTGTGTAAAGCACATACAGCTTGCTGTTGTGAGGGAATTTATGCTATATGCAAATGCTGTATATGATATAGTTTATTGTCATTTTTTATTTTACTTTTTTGAAAAAGATTACGTTTAATGGAGTGATCAATCATGAGCATTTTGATTCAGCAGTGAAGGAGTCATGCAAAAAGAGGGCTTAATGTGTTTCCATTGTATGAACTTTTAAAATGAAGTTTAAAGAAAGTCACGGTGCTCATATGACCTTATGCAGTTGCAAGCACTGTAAAACCTCAACTAAAACAAACAAAAAGAAAGTCAGGGCTTTGAAAAAAAAAAATCTTTGAATTTCAAGGCTCAGGTTTTCATTCTAACCAAGAATTTTTGTTTGTTTTTTATTACTGTAAAATAAATGAACAAGACTTTACTGTTTAGGAGAACAATTTGGGAAAAACCCCCCGCAAACCAATGATATTTTGTGTATCATTGCAGTGTCCCAAGATTTCCTGAAGTGGGCTGTGAATGAGGAAAACAGAGCTGTTCAGGTAAGTGTTTGTATTGTGAATTCTTGTTTTGTTTTTATAAGATAAGTGAGTAAACTAGTATACATACCCACTGCTTTGTATAAGACTCCAGTATAAATGCTGACGTACGGAACAGAATCACATACGCAGTGCGGCAGCATGAAGATCTACTGACCGCAGTGAAGAGATGAAAATTAAAAGGGTATGGGCATGTCACAAGATCCACAGGACTTGCCGAAACAGTCCTACAAGGAACCGTACTAGGAAAGAGAAAGAGAGGAAGACAGGGAAGGAGATGGGAGGACAACATCACAGAGTGGACTGGGAAGAGACGATGGGTGACACTCTGAGGAAAGCAGAGGGCAAAGAGAAATGGCGAGAGCTGGTTTTTAGATGCAGTGATGCCACGGTTGCCCCAATCACTGGAGAAAAGAAGAAGAAGAACAATGAAGTTGTATACATATCCACTGCTTTGTATAAGACTCCGCCTTATTCATTTGAAAAAATGAGGTGTGACAGTTTTATACTGAGCAGTCAATATGTTAATTAGAAATTAATGCTAAAGCAAATTGAACCAATAAGAAGTCAAGTAATTTCAGTTTGGTATGTCACAAAGCATATTACTTTTCCTTTCAGTTGCATTTTTTTTGGTGTGTTTTTTTTTTTTTTTTTCCTCCCCTCTTTGAGTGGGTTAGATACATGGTGGAACATAACTTTATGCTCTTTTGTGATGTAGAATATGCATTAATTAATTGGATTCATTTTTTTGTTTGTTCTTGTTTTATTTCAGGATGTGGCCAATCAGCTTGCCGAGTTAAATCTGTTATGGACAGAAATTCAACGAGAGTTTGGGGGTGAGTATTTTCTTGCTTTGTTTATAAATGCTACATATATAATTTCCTTGTCATTTTTACTAAAAATCACTATCTTGAATCGTACTACTTGAAGTCGACTTTAACTTTTGGGGGAGGAGGGG